TGATCGTCCCTTATGTCAAAATATTTACTTAATATTTACAAAATATTTACTTGAATAGACAAATTTCCTGGTTAACATTAGCTTTAGCTTATACCCAATTCACAAGCTTGGTTAATGTGACAGTCGTTTTAGTTCACGGAAGCGTGGAATAGAACAAAGGTGACTATATATGGTTTAGAATTATGTGCATAACTCTTATCCATAGTGAATAACTCTTATCCATAATTCTAAAGCTTGGTTACTATTTTTCTTTTTTGTGCTTCTAAACTAGACGTAACTGGGCATGTGAGTTATCTCATGTGAGTTCTGAATTGGGTAGCAACAAGATCGAAATGTAGAGCGGGCAAATGTAACTAATTGCTATTTTCATTTTATTCTCGTTTAGGCCAAAGTGGATACGAGAAATCAAAGTATTGTACAAGGGCTGCAAAAGATTGTTTTCGAAACGGACAGACCGTGTATATTCGATTCAATCCTGCCTTTAGCACAATACCAAAGGTAACGATTGGTCTAACCCTAATCGACACACACAAAGATCAAAATGTCCGCGTCCGTGCTTCGGTAACCTCTGTAACCAGAAATGGATTCTATCTCAAATTCCAGCCTTGGGATAAATCTATTACTTATCAAATTGGCGTCAACTGGATGGCATGTCAATGAACATGAATGGCACATAAATGATGAATACTAAAGCGTACTTACACTATTGGCTAGCACATAGCTTTCTACTAATTGCTCGTACTTTTGTATTATAATTGCGCGTGTTTTCAGTTGTAGTTTGAAACCTTGATCACGAATAAACTTGTTAACGAAATTCGATGTTGCATTGTTTTTTGTGTAATCTAGTGAATACTCTATAAAGCCCCTCCCTATTCAGGATAAGACTTATTAGCTCCTCTATTATGAACCCTCTCCCCCCTTTCACTACAAATATGATAAAATTTATCTGCCTCGTATCCCCCGGGTTTTTCCTCTTGTGGAGAAAGGACCCTGGTAGACGCTGGTCACGTGATCTGCTAAAATCTAGCAGATTTCTAATTAACTATCTTGGATTCCTTTACGACAATCATACAAAAAATTTCTAATTAACTATCTTGGATTCCTTTACGACAATCATACAAAAAGCAAATAGTAAATTAAACTATAAAAATTATCCAAACGTCAAATATTTATTGACCTCATCTTGGATTGGCTGATTAAAAATCTGCTCGATTTTAGAAGATCACGTGACCAGTGTCTTTTCTCCCCTCGCCAACAGGAAAGACCCTGGGTACGAGGGTGAAGATTTATTTTTTGGGGAAGGAATTTACCAGTAAAGACTTTGTCATCAATAAAGATTCACTAATATGTCAGCAAACAATACAGCCGGCAGTATTATCAATGATCTTGCATATAGTGTATACTAAATTAAAATTAACTTAATAAACAACATCCCAGTTTCGAAGGATCTTTTCTTGAATAAAAATCGTCGTATGAACAAACTTTTTTGATATTCGGAAAGATCAGGCTTTTCAATGCCTAATGAACTAAATATTTAGCCGGAAAACATTTCAAAGCATTATACAGCATGTATAAAGGTTATCGAACTTCAGCACGCTATTGCATCTGAATTACTCTGCGTGTGACTGAGATTTGTTCATATTCGGAACGATCGGGCTTTTATCTGTCGAACGATATGTTCTTCATGCCAAATGGATAACAAATGAACAAATACGAATCCGATAAAAAATGTTAGTCAGAATCGCATAATTTCACCGTTGAGAGTAGTGGGTCTAAAACCATTGAAAATTAACCCCCTTTAGGACTTAAGTTGATGAATTTCGCTTCAATAAACTACGCACATATTCATCATAATTGTTATTAAGTAGGAATAAATCTTTTCAGTGCTAATATCTCTTGGTCTCATAGGCAAAATGGCAACAGTATCGCAAAGTTCAAACAAATCCATGCATATACTAGGGGAGCGTTCCTTTGGCGCAATCGGATTTGGATCTTCAAATCCGATGATCGATTTTCAGTTCCATTTAACAAAATCTTAAAATAGATTCGAATCTGATGAATCGACCTCAACATATGGATTTTTCGGGCTTCTGGCGTTCTGGCATGTACCTTGACCCGACCGAAAGGTACTGTGGAACAGAAAACGTATTGTAAAAATGGCGGGAAAACGGGAGGCGAATTCCGATTCTCGCAATTCGATCCATTTACGAATCCAAAAAATACGAATCCTCAAAATCCAAATCTAGATTTACAAAAGAAACGCTCCTTATAATTTCGAACCCATCACATCGAATTTACGATTTTTATTTCCATTCAATTCCAAACTAGAAAAAAACTTCTATACTTACCTATTCTCGGTGTTTTTTAAATCCCCTTCTGTGTTATGTACTTTCCTCCCACAATTAACTTAGTTAAGTACAAAAATCATCTTTGGCCTTTGTCCTAATTTCATCGTCTATTCATTTTCATATATATTTTCCAGACAAAAGGAAACCGATTATTTCAATTTCAAACTACAGAGTACAGGGAAAAAAGCTGCGGTGTTTTTGCATCCCTTAATTTCGTAAATCCCCACAAAGAAACTCTCACAATAAACTTAGTTAAGTATCCTTGGCAATGACCACAACGGCAATATTTTGCAATTTTTATTCTTACTCCAAACAAAAAAAACTGAGTTCCTTTTCTTACTGGTTTAATAGATCCTTATTTATGACCTTTAAAAAAATGTCAGTGTCTTCAAATCAGTTAAAAATTTAATTACTTTTCTTTTTTGAATACCTATAGGTGTACAAGCCTTTGTAAAATACCATGCATGACTAATTAATGCGTCGGCTATTTTTTGTAAGAGTATAGGATATAAAAGAAGGGTGGGTGGAGTGCATTTCCATCAGTTATTGGTTGTATTATGACACTGAACTAGACACGTAGGCTTATTTTGAGACAGAAAACTTTACGAATAACAAGTAAGTGCGGTACATAGTTTAGTATTGGTAATATATCAGTTCTGCCGCATTTTTCTGAGAGTGCTGGGTATCACCATATAATGACCAACGTTTAACTTTCGTTTTATATGTATAGGTATGAATTAAGCAGCTCTTGATTTGCTTGTGCGCAATGTTCACATTGGTAAGTAAAATGGCGCCTATAACTGGAACCATGCATGTATTGAAAATCTGGATAGGAAATAGCGGGCGCCAGCGACGCAATATATTTTATTTGAAATTCGTGATGTCACGATTAACTCATGAGAATATATATGGTAAAGTTTCTCGTTATTTTTACTAATTTCCCAATATTTCCCAAGTTACAAACCTGCCCTTGCCGGGGTAAATTTTTACATTTATTGTTTTGTTTTCTTTTTTGTATATTGAGAGTTTTACGCGATCTTCTCGCAAACATTTCACTAATGTTCCTCTAATCGTCATTTGAACTTTCGTGAAGCTTATAGTTACTCTTTTCAGTACATTAAATCAGGGCCACCGAGAGCTTGGCGGGGGCCCGGGGCAAATTTTTTTAGGGGCCCCTATTTCAAATGTTTTTCCGGAAAATTTTTTTTCGGGTACGTTGTAATTGCTTTC